ACTCATTTATTTAAATTTTATACTCAATGTTAAGTAGCTAAGGCAATGGACTAGAAAATAGACAGAGAGTGTAAAACTTCCAGATAAGTTGAGAAAATAAACATGCTGTGTAGAGCACCCTATGGAATTGGCAGCACAGGACTTCCTACGCAGCTCCCACTCTTTTATGAAATCTTCCAAAAATAGGAAGATCAGAGACTTGTTCCTAATGATATAAAGATTTTTATACTTGCTGACTAAACTGGCAGGGTGTGGCTGCATCTCCACACCCTGTAGGTCTGTGTAAAGAGCCTCTTGGGTGCAGCTTCCCTTTTCAGGCTGAGTTTTGCTTGGAACAGCCAATCCCATAAGAATGGCCCTTTCCTCACAGCCTGAAACACATGGTATTGGGCTAACAGATAAATGATCATCTGAGGGTGAAAATATCTCAGTGGAGGCTCCTTTACTCTATGTGTGTATAGTTTTGAAATATGATTTTGCCAGGCTTTACTGAGATATATTTGTCATGTAACATTATATTTGTTTCAAGTGTTTAACAAAATGATTCGGTATTTGTATATGTTGTAAAATAATCATTGCACTATGCCTAGTTAACATACATTGCCACACATAGATCCTTTTTTTTTCTTTGATGAGAAGCTTTAAGATTTACTAACTTGTCCACTTTCCAATATACAAAACAGTATTATAAACTAAGAGAGGTTGGGTGCATGAAATTTGTGCATAGGGAGAGGGGACCCTCAGCCCAGCCTCCATCTCTTCCTCATGGGACTCCTGGGAGGATGTCCAATTGGTGGTTTAGGCAATATCTCTGTAGAATCAGGCCTAAACGAGGATTTGAAAGTCCTCCTCACAATCCAGGACTGCTGACTCCCAACCACTAGCCTGCCTGCCTGCCAAATTGCCCCTAATTGTTTCTGCCTATCAGCCTGATCACCCCCGAACAACTCCCCTGCCAGCCTGATCCATGCCTAACTGCTCCCCTGCCAGCCCGATTGCCCCTAACTTCCCTACCCTGCTGGCCAGGTGACCCCCCACTGTCCTCCCCTACTGGCCATGTTACCCCTAACTGCCCTCCTTTACCAACCTGGTTACCCATAACTGCTCTACCCTGCTGGCCTGGTACCCACCACCTGCCCTCCCTGTAGGCCTGGGATTCCCTTAACTGACCTCTCTTGCTGACCTGATTGCTCACAACTGCCCTCTCCTACTGGCCATCTGTGGCAGCCATCCTGTGTCCACATGGGGGCAGCCAACTTTGACCACATGGGAGAAGCTATCTTGTGTGTTGTAGTGATAGGCAATTTGCATATTATTTCTTTATTATATAGGATACACTTGTGTCCTCTGAAATAAACTAATGTGCATACATTACTCCTGGGAATAAATGAAAACAGATCACATGAGCTCAATCATGCAAGGCACTGAATGCCAAGGAAACTCACTTTAGCTATGTAAGCTTATATTACCTATTGGGTGGGCTTCCTGCACACTCCCACAGTGGGCAGAGACAGAGTTCAATTTAAACATTTGTCAGAGGAGGAGGACCAGTTAGGGTAAGATGGGGAGAGGAAGAGATAAGACATTGCACTCAGGGCAAATGTGAAGCAACTCTTGAGGCCCTTGTCTCACATCTACAGATTGTCACTTGCCATTGCCCCTTGTGCAGGAAGTCACATTGGCAGCCCAACATCTTGATAAGCCCTCTTGGTCATCAGATTCCACTCCTGCTCCTGCAGACACCTCCTATCGTGGGTAGGAGAGCATTCTCTGGTGTTCAGCACTCCCTCGAAAGCTCTTCTTTTTCTATTCAACACCTTCAACCAGAAGATGGTGCTCAGGTAAGAGTCAGCTCAGAACTATCTTCTCTAAAAGGCAATTTTGTTTTCTCTCTTAGTCCACATGGTCATGAGTGCTTCTTGGGAGTAGCATGCAAGGAGCGACGAGCACCCATGAAGGAGAGTCCAGAGACAAGAAGCTCCCTCAGGGAAGCTTTGGTGCTGGTAGCTTAGGCTGTGAGAACCCAGGTTCTATGTGCTTCAGATACATTGTTTTCAAACCTGAATTGATGTTAGTAACCTCAGATTTCACACATTACCTTGCTATTCTATGAGTTTGTTTGTTATATGTAGGTACCTTTCCTGTACCAGCCAAAAACACAAGGCTACAAACAAATAGGGCAGTTGAAGAGAATTGAATAAAAAGAATGTGTAGAAAAGATGAGCAAGATGAGTTACCTAAAGTATCATGAAGTGTAAAAGGTTAGTTAAGTTTCCAGAACACAGGGAAGGCTGTAGCTGTAGCAGTGGTCTTCACTATGACGCCCCCCCAAAAGAGGCCCACAGCCAGGGGCTCTCTCCTTAAGTAAAGCAACACCACCATGGCAAACTCACAGCCTGACAGCAGAGAGGCAGGGAGTAAAACCTCAATCATCCTTCTCCTGCCCTATAATCAGCTCTCAGTGTCACTTTTCCTGAAAGAAATCAGGAGGCAGATGAAAAGGGAGCCCAGTGGTGAGGCAAAGAGATGTGTCCTCCCAGGATGCAGCAGTGGATAGAGATGCTGAAAAAAGGAAATTTGACATCAAATAGAGAGAATCCATTTTTCTTATAGCCTCTTCTTGTTCCTATTTACAAGGACTTTTTTTCCCTCAACTTATTCTGACATCTTATTTATTTGAAATGTTGGCACCCCCTTCTGGGTATCACATCTTAGAAATAATATCTCTCATCATAAATGCCTTGAGGATGGAAAGTACGTTATTTTTCAGGGTGGTGGTAGACAAATATTCTTAAGAATTTCAATTTATGATTTTGGTATCCCTAGAAAGTAATGTATGAGAGGTTACTAGCACTTGACTGGTGATTTCAAAGCACCAGACACCTGTGCTCTTTCAAATCACTGTTCCCCTGCCCTAGAGAGGTGGTTTCATTCTCATGCAGGGCTCCCAGACTCATCAGCATTCCATCCAGAGGAAGAGATGGGAAGGAAATGCACAACCTAATTAGTTGCATCACTTTTGCTCATCTCCCAATGACTACCACCTGGTCACATGCTGCCATCACATGGGAATGGAAACTAGGATTATAATCCAATTTCTAGTCTAAAGCTCACAGAATTACTATGTGAGAGAGAACTAAATGGGTTTAGACCAATTACCATTTTCTGCACCCCTGCAGTTCTCTCATGTTCTGAGCTCACATGAAGAGTGTAGGTAGGTGCTCATCCCACCATGAGGCAAAGAACAGTGCTAAAGCTTCAGGCTGTGCTCCAAGAGACCAGGACCTGCTGTTCACCCTGTGATCTTTGGATTAAAAGAGCTAATATGTGGCAAGAATTGACTGATTGTGTGTTTCCAGAGGCAAGAAGCAACTCCTGGAATCTCTGGTCTGTTCTCAGCTGGATTCCACCCACTTCTTCTTCCACACTGAATAAGCTTCACTTCTTTCTTACTTAACAAATTTGCCTATTCGAGCTTAATAAAACACACAAATGATCTTCCATTTGAGATATGTCCCTGAGAGTTACTTGCTTCCGCCTCACCAGCTGCATGTGTACTGGACACACCACTCTAGTAGTGGGACTTCAGAGAAGGGAATGGGGGAAGATCTGACACAGACCTGTGGGTTCAGTACCAGGCTCTTCCACTTGTGCATGTAAGAACTGGAGCATGTCATTCAACCTCCTTGTGGTCATCTTTTCCTATTAGTCATATGGGAATAAGCATAGTACTGGCCTCATAGGGCTATTTGGGGGATTAAAATTGGTAATACCGGGTAACCACTCATCAGCTGCTCCTCTTTACCTATGAGTGAGTTGGCTTGTGTATCTCACCTCAATTCTGCAAGAGCTTCCCTCTTATCATCCAAAGCCCTTTGTAAAATAGAATTAAACACTTCATACCTGCACCACCCCCAGAAGAGTTCTCTTACACAATTCTTTGATCTGCAAGGAACTCCAAATCACATGTAGGGACAATGAGTGGGTTTCCCATTACACGTATTATAGGAAAACCAGTTAATAATGCCCCTTCTGTACTTCTGCATCAACTACCTCTATTGACACCCTTGGCCACCTCTGTCTCTCTCCTTCCCAAAATGGCCTCTTTCTCCTCTAAAATGCAAAGAAGTTTAATTCAGGCGTGAATCCCCTCCCAACTGGATAGATGTCTATAGGCACAAAAATATTCTTTCAAACACACAAGAGCTTTTCACAGAGTGAATACTTAGAAATGAAATTTTGTTTTTGTTACATATGTGTTTTTTGGTGGTGGAGTTAAAAGTGCTGACTTCTGTTTTACTAGTACATTTAAAATTCTTCATTAAAAAACTATTAAATTTCTTAAATGCAAATTTTCTTCCTCCCTTTGGCTCCTCATTCATTCCTTCATTCACTTGTGGATTATAATTTTATTGACAGCCCCATTGTGTTCCCAGACAGACTTGGACCCTGGAGACTCAACAATGGAAAGAGTAATCACTCTCTATCCTCATAAAGACGACACACTTGGACATTCTAATGCAAGATCTTTGGGTGTCCTCCTCTGTCCTAACAATGGGTCTCATTCCCCTCATGAGCCTAATTCATAACATCCTTTCTCCCTGATGAGTAGACAACTCACAGTTACTGAGCCTGCTGTCAAATGAAAGCCACTCTCCCAGAGCACAAAGACTGAGGGATTCAGAACCCTGTTGTCCTCCACAGGACCTGAGCAGACTCTTCTCCTACCTCCACAGCACATGTCATGGGCTGGATGGTGAGTGGAGAGGTTGTACATAGAGGGTCTGTGTTGCAGTATAAAGAGCCAAGACTGTAAGATTCAGAGAGAACTGGGTTTAAATTCAGGCTCCAGGACTCCAAGACTCTGTGTTTCAGGAAGAATCTTAATCTCTGGAATCCTCCATTCCCCATGGACAGGGTGGCTATACAGGTCAGTAGTCAGAGAGCAGGTACTCAAGTCTTGTTTTGTTTCCAGGCCCACAACTACAGCGTTTCTAAGCATGAATATGACTGTCACAGCCTGGGAGACCAATCTCACAACAACATATGGAAGTCTTCAGGCCGTTCATCAACATTATACAGAGTTCATAATCCTGCAAATACTGACAGTCATCGTGGCCCTGGTGGGGCTGGCAGGGAATGCGGTGGTGATCTGGCTGCTGGGCTTCCGCATGCGCAGAAACGCCTTCACAGTCTACATCCTCAACCTGGCCGGGGCCGACTTCCTCTTCCTCTGCTACCGATTTACACGTAGTCTAGTTTTACTTTTTGACTTCGGTTTTGTCATTGGAATAATTAGCCGATTTCTCTTGCCTGTGTCAATCTTTGCCTACATCTCAGGTCTGAGTTTTCTCAGCGCCATCAGCACGGAGCGCTGCATGTCTGTCCTGTGGCCCATCTGGTACCGCTGCCACCGCCCTACTCACATGTCCTCTATCATGTGTGCCCTGCTCTGGGCCCTGTCCCTGCTGATGAGCATGTTAGAAGGGAACTACTGTGGCTCCCAGAGTTCTAATGTGTGTCTTGTTTGGTGTCAAGTATTGGATTTCATCACTGTGGCATGGCTGATTTTGTTATTTGTGCTTCTCTCTGGCTCCAGCCTGGCCCTGATGACCAGACTGTTATGTGGCTCCCAACGGGTGCTGCCGACCAGGCTCTACATGACCATCATGATCACGGTATTGGTCTTTCTACTCTGTGGCCTGCCCTTTGGCTTCCACTGGTTCCTCATAATCTGGTATCCAAATGAATATCTTGCCCTCTTTCATCTTTCCTTGACTGTAGTATTTCTGTCCTGTGTCAACAGCTGTGCCAACCCCATCATTTACTTCTTCGTTGGCTCCTTTAGGCAGCAATGGTGGAAGCAAAGACACACTATGAGGCTGGTTCTCCAGAGGGCTCTGCAGGACACTCCTGAAGTAGATGAATCTGGAGAAATCCTTCCTGGGGAAACCCTGGAAATGTCAGGAAACAGTCTGGGGCAGTGATGAAGAGCCTCTGTCCTGATCTATCTGAAGTAACTTTGAGACTCACTGCTGCCTTGCCAGTTTGGAAAGTATCTAGTTTTCTCTCCGCCTCAACTTCAGCCTCTGAATACTTCAGTGATTCCCCAATCTCTTCAAATAGGTTGTGTTTAATATCGCTGTTCTAGGTTTTCTCAGATAAAGCATTAGTTCAAAAATTATACCTCTCCGTTGTCCTTGACATTACCAATAAATTTTTAATGTGATCTGAATTTAGTTTATTGAATGCTTTTTTTTTTTTTACAATCTTCATTGCAACAAAAAGAATCCCTGTCCAAATAAGTCCAGGTCTGAAGTTTTGGTTCTACAGCTCTCCTCTCCAAGCCTTAGTTAATTCGTTGTAAAATGCTGTGAAATTATCTACTCATAGCATCATAGTGGGGAATAAATTAGAAAACAAATGAAAAGGACTCTGCCAGGTGCCAAATATGACCACTATTTCATAAACATCAACAGTTAATACATGTGAAGCCTGGAATATATTATTGACTTATGAGGTAATATTTAATAAGTTAAAACAAAAAATTCCTGTCCAAATCCATAGATAGTCATTCAAAAACTAGAGACTTGATCCACAAAATTTGTGCATGGTGCGTCTGTGTGTGTGTGTGTGTTTGTGTGTGTATGTGTTTGTGTGTATCTGTGTGTGTGTGTGTGTGTGTGTGTGTGTGTGTGTGTGTGTGTGTGTGTTGTGCCTCAGCCCAGCCTGCACGATCTCTCCAATCTGGGATCCCTCAAAGAATGTCCTACTACACGTAAAGGCCCAATTGGGCCTAAATGGGCAGTGGGACATCCTCTCTCAAACCAGAACTGCTAGCTCCCAACCACTCACCTGCCTGCCTACCTGATTGCCCCTAACTACTTCTGTCTGTCAGCCTGATAACCCCTTAGCTACTCCCAAACCAGCCTGATAAATGCCCAACAGCTCCTCTGCTGGCCTGATTGCCCCTAACTGTCCTCCCCTGCAGGGCTGGTTGCCCACAACTGCCCTTCTCTGCTGGCCCAGACACCCTTAATTTTCCTCTCTTGCCAGCCTAGTCACCCCTAACTGCCCTCCCCTGACAGCCTGATCAACCAGAACAGCCCTTCCCTGCAGGCCTAGTCACCCCCAACTACCCTCCTCTGAAGGCCTGATCACCCATAACTGCCCTCCCCTGCTTACCTGGTTGCCACCTACTGCCTTCCCATACAGGTATGGTTGCTGCCAATTTCCCTCCCCTAAAGGCCTAGTCATGCCCAACTGCACTCCCCTGGAGGCGTGGTCACCCACAAAGCCCTCCTATGAAGGCCTGATTACCCCCACTGTCCTCCCCTACAGGCCTGGTTTCTCCCAACGGCCCTTCCCTAAAGGCCAGGTTGCCCCTAACTGCCTCACATGCTGGTCTGGTTCCCACCAAATGTCCTCCCTTGCCAGCCAATGTTCCCCCCTACTGCCCAACCTGAAGGCCTGATCACCCACAAGTGCCCTCCCTACTAGCTATCTTGTACTAGGCATCTTGTGTCCACCTTGTGATGGCCATTTTTCCATCTTATGTGTTGGCATCCATCTTATGTGTTGGAGTGATGGTCAATTTGCATATAACCTAGTTATTATATAAGATTGTTCTAACTGATTGGGTAGGAAAGGAAGATTCCCTATGTTTCTCTCAGACTATAGGCCCTTTAGATTCCTGATTAGTGCTGTGGTTTGGGGCATTCTACAGGATAAAAGTCTGAATAAATGACTTGGCCTACCTCTAATCCCATTGGGTTCTCAGGGTTGAGGGGAAATGATATCCTTAGATAAGGACAGTCCAGAAAATTGGGCCTGGGAAAGGTCCTCTAGTAGCATTTGTCAATGGAATCTTCTCAGCCTGGATCACTACCTGGCACAGGATAGGCACACAGTACTAGTAGAGTTGGGTAAACACAGAAATGAGTGAATAAGTTTCTCTCATTGCTTCAAATGCTTCATAGTTAAGTTTCTAAAAAAATGCCATATACCTCAATTTGGCTGCAGCATGAGAACATGAAAGGAAGTCATAGGAGCTAAAGCTGAAAAGACTGGTTGTCCCCACATCATGTGAAAAGAATCTAGCAATGTCTTGGGGAAAGAGAGAGAGAATCTAACAAATGTCTTGGGGAAAGAGAGAGAGGAGGTAAGTTGTGCCTGTGGTGTGCCACATTCTTTACCTGTTAAAAGGGAACACAATACACACAGTTGTTGATATCAGTAAGTCACAACTAGAAAGGAGATTTCATTACAATTACACAAAACTATAAAATAATGTGTAAAAGAGTTAAAATGGGAACTGTAAACATCGGTTGCTACTGGTGATTGAGATTAGGAGAGACTTTACATTTTTAGTTTTTATACACTTGTGTCCTCTGAAATAAACTAATATGTATTCTCCCTCCTGGGAGTAAATGGAAACAAATCAGATTAGCTTGGCCATGAAAGCCCTGAAAATCAAAAAACTCTTCTTTACCTACAGAAGCTCACATTGCTTGTTGGGTATGCTTCCTGCACACAGCCACAATGAGCAGTGACAGGCTCCAGTTCAAACATTCCTCAATGGAGGGCTCCAGATGGGGTAAGATGGGTAGAGGAAGAGATAGGACATTGAACTTAGGCAAGTGAGAAACATCTCATGAGGCCTTGTCTCCCATCTCCAGAATCTCACTTGCCAGTGCCCCTTGTGCAGGAAGTCACATTGGCAGCCCAGCATCTTAATAAGCCTCTCTTGGTCATCAGGTTCCACTCCTGCTTCTGCAGACACCTCCTATTCAGGGTAGGAGAGCATTCTCTAGTGTTCTGGGCTGATCGCAGCAAGTGCAGTGGCGGTGGCAAGAGCCTCTCCCACCTCTTTGGCAGCACTAAGAATGTCCTACTTTGGCTTCCCCCATGGGAAGCAGGCCTAAGCTGCAGTTGGACATCCCCCTTCGAGTGCATGAATTTTTGTGCACCAGGCCTCTAGTTTGTTATAATATTATCCTCTAACATAGGAAGAAAGTGAGGCTGAAAGAGCCAAAGGATTTCCCTGAGATCACAGGGTGAACAGCAGGTCTGATGCCAACCCTGGTCTCCTGGAGCCCAACTTGAGGCTTTACCACTGTTCTCTGCCTCATTGTGGATTGAGCACCTGAGTAAAGTCTTCATGTGAGGTCAGAACATGAGAGAACTGCAGGTTTGTAGAAAATACTAGTTTGTCTAAATACCCATTTCCTTCTCTCTCACATAATAGTTCTGGGAGTTTTAGACCAAAAATTGAATTCTAATCCCAGCCTTCATTCATGCTTGATGACATCATGTGGCCAGGTGGGCCTGAAACAAGTGATGTAACCTGTGTGTGCTAGATTTGGAGAACTGGACCTGGAGTTTAGAAACCTAGATTTTCATGATGTACAACTGCTGGTTTAGGCCTGGTCCCTGTAGAATCAGGCCTAAACCAGCAATCAGATATCCTTCTCATAATCCAGAACTGCTAACTCCCAACCACTAGCCTGCCTGCCAAATTGCCCCTAACTGCTTCTGCCTGCAGCCTGATCACCCCCTAACAACTTCCCTACTAGCCTAATCCATGCCTAACTGTTCCCCTGCCAGCCCGATTGCCCGTAACTTCTCTTCCTTACTAGCCAGGTGACCCCTAACTGTCCTCCCTTGCTGGCATGGTTAACCCTAACTGCCCTCCATTGCCAACCCAGTCATCCATAACTCTCTCCTCTGCTGGCCTGGTTCCCCCAACTTTCCAATCCTGAAGGACTAGATCCCCTAACTGCCCTCCCCTGCAGGCCTGGCACCCACCACCTGCCCTCCCTGCAGGCCTGGGTTTCCCTTAACTGCCATCTCCTGCTGGCCTGATTGCTCACAACTGCCCTCTCCTACTGGCCATCTGTGGTAGCCATCCTGTATCCACATGGGGGCAGCCAACTTTGACCACATGGGAGAAGCTATCTTGTGTGTTGGAGTGATAGGCAATTTGAATATTATTTCTCTATTATATAGGAAACTCCTCCTCCATCCTCTAAAATAAACTAATGTGCATACATTACTCCTGGGAATAAATGGAAACACATCACATGAGTTCAATCACGCTGGGCACTGAATGCCAAGGAAACTCACTTTAGCTATGGAAGCTCATATTGCCTATTGGGTGGGCTTCCTGCACACTCCCACAGTGGGCAGAGACAGGGTCCAGTTTAAACATTCCTAACATGAAGAGGACCAGTTAGGGTAAGATGGGAAGAGTAAAAGATAAGACATTGGACACAGGGCAAATGTGAAGCATCTCATGAGGTCCTTGTCTCACATCTCCAGAATCTCACTTACCAGTGCCCCTTGTGCAGGAAGTCACATTGGCAGCCCAGCATCTTGATAAGCCCTCTTGGTCATCAGGTTCCACTCCTGCTTCTGCAGACACCTCCTATCCAGGTAGGAGAGCATTCTCTGGTGTTCAGCAATCCCTGGAAAGCTCCTCTTTTTCTACTCACCACCTTCAACCAGAAGATAGTGCTCAAGTAAGAATCAGCTCAGAACTATCTACTCTAAAAGACAATTTTGTTTTCTCTCTCTTAGTCCACATGGTCATGAGTGCATCTTGGGATGTAGTGTGCAAGAAGCCATGGGTACCCGTGAAGAAGAATCCAGAGACAAGAAGCTCTCTCAGGGAAGCTTTGGGAGCTGGTAACATAGGCTGTGAGAACCCAGGTCCTATGTGCTTCAGATACATTGCTTTCAAACCTGTATTGATGTTAGTAACATCAGATTTCAAACATTATCTTGCTATTCTATGAGTTTGTTTGTTATATGTAAGTATTTTTCCTATACCAGCCAAAAACACAAGACTACAAACAAATAGGGTAATTAAAGAGAATGGAATAAAAAGAATGTGTAGAAAGGATGAGCAAGATGAGACACCTAAAGATTAGTCATAATAGGGAGCTATTGCCCGTGGGCATCGTGAAGTGTAAAAGGTTAGTTAAGT